CTTTACTATAGTCCTACATGACTATTCTCATGAATGCAACATATTAACATGGTGTATTGCAAGAGGTTGAACCACTTCATCCAGACATGTCAACCATAACTTGTGAGTATCTTCATTACTAATATTATCTCTTCTTTACTTTCCTGGGTCCCTTACCCCTTTTTTCACAGGATCCCACTCTGTGCCAAGTGTTGCCCAGACAGGGGTGCTTTTATCAAAGAATTCTATACTAGTAACCACTAATTCAATATACTTTGTTCAGGTTGCAACAGATTCTGTAGAAATGAAGTGTTCCATAAAACCACCTAGAGGATGACCAGGTGGTATTACTGTACTATGCTGGACTGCCACTCATGTACTATCAGAAATAAAACATCAGAGGATCCTGCTCATCTTTGCTAATCATTTAATTGAATAAATCATGGTCGTTGTTTTTTTTTAATTTAGGAAACTTGGTTCACCTATTGCATTGCTTCTAGAGCACTGTACCTCAGGACTCCCCAGTATGCATTACCCCCCCAGAATCTACTAGTTGAGTTAGGGAGTCCTAACCACACCTAGTTTCCAGTCATTGAGATGGTGGATAGAGGCTTTTCCTACAGAGTGTTAGAATGAATTTCCTTCACTTTTTGGAGAAGAGGAAAAGTTGGGTACCTGCATGTTTAACCCCAGATGTCTGTAGGTGAGGCACCAGCCTATTTGAGAGCCTACTTGTAATATCAGTTTATCTTTGATACTTGACTATCTGATTTGGTTGAGCATGGCTCTTCTTTTTCATCAATATTGGTTCAGTACATTGTTCATGGAAGAGAGAGTCCATTGTCTCCTCATAATTCCAAATGCAGAGCGGTCCCATCCTTTGTCCTTGGTTGCACACAGTTTGATCCACTTTCTCCCCATAATTATGGTGACAAGATGAATTTATCTTGCCTACACAGTTGGGGAGTGAGGATGAGTATTCATAATTCCAGACCAGATGAATTTTGTTTCCTCAGGTTGAGTAAGGCATACAAGATTCCATCATTCCGTTGCCTTTCAGACTTCTTCAGGATGAGGAGAAGATTTATCCAATTAAGTATTACTTACCTTCTCTTTGTGATTCCAGTGACTCAGAACACATCACTTTATAGCCACTTTATATTGTGGTCCAATTGCCCTAGCCAACAACATGGGACATAGGGATCATGATCCTATAATTCCAACCCTGAGCAGTGGAATCTCGACTATCTAGCCTAGTAGTGTAATGATAAGTCATGTAAAGTTCCACACACAGTACATGAAATATGTTCCAGCTGAAGAGCATACCTGTTCTGGATGTAGTGCAGTTCCCCCACTATGGTGCCAATCTTCTCTTGATACACCCACAATCTCTGCAGATGCTTCCTGTATGGATAATGTCCTGATTGACCTTTCCACCTTCACAATGTGGGATTATAGTTGTAGTGTGAGAAGAGGTGAATTTTCAAAGTTCACATTTTCTTAAATCAAAAATGTATTTCCAGTAGTACTTACCTCATCTCAGACTTCCCCACTAAGATCTTGTGTTAGAGACTGCGGATTGAGTCAGTCTCAAAAAAGTGATAACATTATGTGAAGGAGGTGCTAATATATAGTACAAGGGTAGAGGGTGCATTGATGTAAGTGTAGGGTGTCACGAGACAAATACTGCCAAGGGCAATTAAGTAGGGTATAAAAGACTTGGTCAAGCAAGAAAAAAATCAGATCAATGCTTAGATGAGCACAGGAAGAAACCCTGGCAGTAAAGTAATAGCTGTAGTGTGAGAAGGAGGTAAGTATTATTGGAAATCATTTTTGATTTAAGAAAACGTTTACTTACAGAAAGCATTATAATACATACAATATGGCTTATGTGTGATATTTTTTAAAACAATAAAAACTGCAGTTGCTTTTCTTAAACTTTGATAATTTTTATATGTTGAATTTATTCTTAAAAAGTCTATTCTTCAAATCTTAACAGATAAATCAACTTTCATCATGACATCAAATCAGATTGAGTGTCTGAGTACCCATTTTCTAGGGTTTCTTCAGGATTGCCTAAAAACCAGAAAGATTTCCAAACAAGTTATGGAGCATTGTTATTCATCTTTCCAACATACCAAATACTCTGATCCTGCTTTTTCTTTTTGTGATATTTTTCATCATATGTCTCAGCTTAAGTTAATTAAAGAAGGAAAGAATAAGGTGATTACCATCACTGAGAAACAAAATACATCAACACAGATAAAAGAAAACAAAGGTGAAACATCACATGTAGATGACAGAGAAAAGACCAAAACACACAGAAAGCAATCAAAAAGTACATCTCAGTGCAAAAGTGAAGACAATAGAGCATCTTATTCAAGAGATTCTTCTCAAATATTGAATAAAACTGTCAAAAGAAAGACCTCTTTGCAAATATCCCACTCAGAGAATAAAATATTCTGCCTTTTGTGTCGAGTGGCATTTCCTAGTCAAACAGAGTTTGACAAACATAAAACAAGCAGACTACATCATTTGGAATTTATCAAATATTGTCTTAAAACAAACCAGTAAGTATTTGTTTCAATTTAGTGTTTGTGTGTATGACTTGTTTAATGATTATTTTTATATATTGCATTGGTGGTTAGGACTAATTTGCATCCATATGATGGTCCAAATATTTGCAATTTTTCATAAATTAAAATTTGTATTAATTTTATGTTTTTATACTTAAAAAGAACAAAATTAGCATTAACTTTTGTTATGCTTTATGTTTTGGTGTTAAAAGTATTGTAATTCATTATTCCTATTCCATAGTAAAAAATGTACCTCTATTATTTTACGTGTAAATAATCTGTAATTTTTGGTGTATTTCTAATTGGTCCCAATTAGTTATCATCTGAGTATACACACATACCTTTATCCAAGAAATAGTTTGAGGAAAGACATGAGCATTAAAAGCTTATGATCTATATGTGAAAGTTATTTTAATGTCAAAATATTTTATTATTTAATTCCATTAAAATATCTTACCTTCCCTCACTTATACTGCTCTTTGGTGCAAATGTTTGCTCACCGGTAGTCTTGATACTCCCACTTACCCTCACATATGTTAACGTGAGATATCTGTGTACTAACATGCAAACAATTATGCAACAACCCTCTACCACCAGGAGTGTGATGCTTGTTTTTCATGCCTTTCAACTTCTTTTCTAAATCAACTGCATTTGCTATTTAACATTTTGTTAATTTTGGTGGAAAGTTATGAATTATGTTTTTTTCTTTTCTCTCTCCTTTCCTGATTGAGATTGAGATTGTGAATCGCTGTGATTTATAGCATATATTATAAAAGTCATTAAGTTGAAAGTGATGAAAAACGTACTGACTGTGGAATTACTGTGTACTAAAAGTTTGTATCGAGAAAGAATAAACTGGTTTAATCAAGAAGGTACTTGTATCGCTGAAGTTCCTCGGAAATAATTTATACCGGAAATTATTAAACAAGCAGATACGTAACATTACCATCACTTGTAAGTTCATGATGTTAAAAAAGGACACAAAATCTGCAGAAACGTTTGAGAAATAAAATCCATATTTAATGTTTCTTCAACAGTTAGTGTGTTGGAGATACTTCCACAACAAATGCCAATGTCATAAAAGCTTTCAAACGAAAGAAAAAAAAAAGATGACTTTATACACAAGTGCCAAATCAAGAAGTGATTATAAATAATAGGTATAAAGGGAGTCAGCTGCACTAGGAGGGTGTGTTGCATTCCTATTGCTGGAGGGTTGTCACATGCTCATTTGTTTGCGACAATGCTACAGAATCACATGCATACACATGAATTTAGTTGGAAGCCTCAAGGCTAGTAGTTAGTGAAAAAGTTTGCATATAGAAGGCAGCACTGAATTGAGAAAGCTATATGTGGAAGGAGTTTAAGTATCATATTGGAAACATATTCGATGATGAGGAACCCACTTTGAGACTATTAATGGTTAGAGACGGCTTGAATGAGTAATGAAGAAAAACTTTAATATAAGTTTAACACAACAGCAAATGTACAACGTTTTAACAAGGTTTTGTCATCATAAGGTACCTGTTGTATATTGCCGTAATCATCTGGTTTGAGGTAGCAGGCTAGTTGGTGGTCTAATTTCTGTTTGAGTTTTTGTAAGTAGTCCAGTTCTTGAACAATGTTGTGCTAAACTTATATTAAAGTTTTTCTTCATTACCCATTCAAGCCGTCTCCAACCATATTGGAAACATGTTTTACCCTTTAGATAATGGCAGTTATGTTTTTGTTCGAAACACATATAATACAATCACAAATAATTTTGTAGAAAGTTACAGTCTAATTTATTTATGTACATTGTTTGATTAAGAGAAACATAAAAATGATATTCAATAAAGGTGTATTAGATAAACAAAATAATAAATAAACCTCATAGTTAGAAACATTGCAACTCAATAAAATCATGGTATATCTATTAAAAAATAAAAACATCATAATTTTAAACAAAGAACCAAATATCAACAAAATACCTTTATTGAGCATTAAGCAGTCTCCAGTCATGTGATTTCTTTACTTCATACTATATATATGCCTGTGTGCATGTTTAAGCAAACTACTTTAATCTGATGAAGAAACACTTTCTCCAAACATTGTACATTTGTTATTGTGTTAAACTTTTAATAATTTTTTATGACCCATTTAACCCATGTCTAAGTTGTATAAGCTTATCTACTTCATCTCAAGTTATTTGATTCTTCTCATTGCACACCATTTTTGTAGCTTTCAAGTATATTTAACACATGTATACTTTCACAATTCACAATAAAAGGAACATTTCGAGAAACTATTAAAAACCCTATATACTTACTCTGTCAATATGTGATAGTCTAATTTTTGTTCTGACCAATCATATTTAAACTTCCTTTATTGCTATTTTCAAAGCTATGTTTTGTTACTAAATGATCAAACTACTTGATGTGGCACCATAACAAAGTTTCAACCAAAGACAAGGAAAATGCAGAATAATTTGAATAATATATTTTTAAGAGGTATAGGTCTTAGTAAAAATAATATTATTCTTTGGGATGGGCAGAAAAATTCTAAAAAAAATTGACAAGTAGGTTCTTTTGTTTATGGTAAAACTCTTTCCAGCTGTGTAGAAATAAAAATATTACCTTTTTGAGTTAAAATTCTTTAAATACTGTTACGTCTCTGTATGTTTGTTTGTTAATTCTTCTAAGATACAAGTCTATTCTTTATAAAAATTGTTTATTCTTCCTCAATACAAC